ATGARAGTATACCATAGCCATGAGCACAACTACATGCTGAATCTTGTGAATACTATATTTCACCTTTGGGAGCTAGGTCTAGGGACTCCTGACYCACTACCTGAGAATAAGTAAAAAACTGGAATACATATCAGTATATTTGCCTGTGGAACATTGTCTCAATTACCAGGGTGTCAAAGAGCATATTGTTCATGTGCTAGAAGGCAGTGAGATGTGAATTAGAAGTATACGCAAAGTATCTCCCATCAGAATAGCCTTGCCTRCTAAGTAACATATATTTAAATGTTAATTAATCAGTCATAACAGCAAGATCCATGCTTTTTTCAACAAAATCCTGAGTTTGTTACTAATATAAAAACATGAATTGAATATAGCAAATCATTCCAATATATTTTAATAGCACTAATATAACAGAGCCAAATACATAATTACCAATGAGAAAAATTAATATTACTTAGGGCAACGGTTTTCTCTCTATTGATAAAAACAACTTTGAGGTAAGTAAATTTGTACTCCTCCTTCAGAACCCAAATCATTCTAAGAACTCACCTCCCACACGAGTACTGTCTGATTCTTTAATCTTCCGATCTCTTTAGAGAAATTTGTTGGTACAGCAGACACAACCTCAAGAGAAAGCTCAAAAAGCTTTTCTGAAGAAGAAAAGAAACTCTCTGAAGTTAGAGACATTCTCTAAAGGTCCTTTAATGAGATATGAGTGAAATTCAATGATTTGATAAGCTTCCAAAGAAGATTATGATAGATATGACTGTGCTCTTTCTTGAATGATAGTTATATAATAAATCCCAAGAATAGTAACCTATACCTAATTGACAAATAAGATGGAAAATTCATGTATCATGTTGTATGTGTATGCCACAAATTGTATCAATGTGTAGGTAATATTTAATATAAATTTTTTTAATGAAATGTATAACTTAGGAAAGTGTAATTAAAGGCATTTTAAATTTATATCATTTTTTCAGACAGTAGTTATTACAATCCAGGCAATTTAAATTATATATGGAAGATTTTCATGTGTCAGTGTCCTTCACATAATGCCTCTTCCTTCTTCCTTTCTCCAATATTTTCTTCTTTATACAAGAGTTTGAGGTCCCAATTTCAACATGAACAGGTAAATCCCATGTTTAAGCCCCAGTGCCCAGATCAAAGCTGGTATATAGCATGCATTCAATATTAATTATTGTTAAAACATGTGGAAAAGTGATGGTAGGAAAAAGTCTTATGTAAATCAAATGCCAAGACTTAATCCATTACTTCTCTCTACATCTAGAAGTAAGTTTTCCTAGTGTCGCTGCCCTTACTTCTGCTCTTGCTTCTGTCTGGGTATTCCAAGCATGATTAGGCTAGAATGAGAGTTAACCTATGTGTATACTTTGCATGATGGCTCTCTCATGTCCAAGATTCTGCCCACCTATCTAGGTTTACAATGATTACCTTCTTCCTGTCTTAGATGGATTCTCTAAGCTTGACACCATTGAGACTTTGACATAAAATGAGATCACTCTGGACCCAATGACCATTCATTACAGAGGTATACATCATGAAAGGAATAACCGAGATGACACTGATCTAGTGGTAAGACCTCAACACTGTTTTATCTTCCTCCTATTCTTGGTAGCTCAATCTGACAAGAGTTTAACTATGGCATTTAGGTAAGATTAATTTTAGTGATAAAACTTGACTCATAAGCTATGGGTTAAGGTATGTAAGGTCTGTCCAACTCATCATAGATTTTTAAAAATGGGGTAACTTTGTGGTGAACTGCCTCCTCAGTTCTCAAAATAGAAGGCAGTTATTCTGAGAAGGACCATAAACGAAACCTGAATGGAAAGGAATAAGCCGTGTGATTAACTAGGAAAGCATTCTTGGTAGGAGTGTGAGGAGTTAAGAATAGGAGTGTGTACAGTTTGTTTGAAAACAGCAAGGATAACAGTGTGCCTCACATAGAGTAGAGAAGAGGGACAATAATAGTAGATGAAGTCAGATGAATAAGAGTGGGAACAGGAAAAGAAAACCATGCAGGCCTTTTAGGTTAGTGTAAGAACTTTGGCCTTCCTTTGAGTGAGAAAAGAAGATATGGGGGATTTTAGCTTACATTTTAACAAAATAATGATTACTGATGTACTGGGAATATACTGAAGGGGGCAAAGGGGTGACCAGTTCAGAAGCTCTTGCAGTAAACTAGGCAGGAAATAATGGGAGCTTGCATCAGGATGATGATCATTATTATCCAAAGTACATGTATGAAGACATGAATTGGTGTGAATATACTATATATACAACCAGAGATATGAAAAATTGTGCTCTATATATGTAATAAGAATTGTAATACATTCCGCTGTTATAAATAAAAAATAAAAATTTTTTTAAAAAGGATGGTAGCAATGGGATGTGTCAAAAAGTATCAAATTCAGAATACATTTTGAAAGTAAAAACACAATTGCTAACAGATTGAATGCAGAGCTTAAGTGGGAAAAAAAATCAAGAATTGTTCCCAAGTTGTTTGGCTRTGTCCTTTGGGAGACTGTGATTACCAATTATTGTGATAAGAATGACTACAAAAAGACCAGTTCAGGAGAGAATGAGAGAATATCAGGATTCCTGTTTTGGATATTATAAGTTGGAGGTGTGTGTATTAAAAAACATAGCATAGTTTTTTAATCTGTATTCCTCCCTTCAGCTCCAGGATTAAACCTTATTCTGAATCTTACCCAAGACCAAGCCCTGATCTAGGAGGCTAGATTCTGACTCCCACTCTACAGTTCTTGACTAAAGTCCTACTTTGTAAGCACAGACCACCAGGAACCAGGATGCTTCCAACAATCGGATCAGAGTATCGCCAGAACTCAGAGTCCTACTGCAACATCCCATTCACCAGACTTGATTCCCTTTGATGCTGATTTTGGCTTGATTTTCCTGGACTCTGAGAATTCTCTGTATTCTCTATGATTTCCATTGCAGCTATAAAATGGAGTTAGTTCTCTCAATCCCTCCAAATTCTAGGCCTTTCTCCTCACTAGTAGGTCTTGCTGCTATCCATRTTTCATCTTTCACCTACAATGGAAATTAGGGAAGAGTTTGATCACATGTGCCCAACAAAAACATATCATGTAAACTATCTTTCTGAAGTTTTATATGCCTTAAAAGAATGGAGTGAAAGAGGGGAAAAGATGATTAAATAAATTTTCAAGTTACTTTCCTAGTCATATTTATTTCCAGTGGATTATTTGATTTGCCAACCTTTGCATGGCGATTTAGTTTGTAAAGACTGTCCTAAGTTGCAAAAACTGTCCTGCCAAATGATTTCAAAATGATTTGTCCTATTCAAGTGAATTCCAAAATGACTTAGGATTCAGACCCATGAAAGATTACAAAATGAGTACCATGACATCTATTAATCCCTGAATGCCTCCAAAACAGTTCTGAGAATTGCCAAACGTCCTTTATTCTCTGGTTGATTTCCAAAACTGATGCTCCAACGTTTAGAAGGCATTTTAAAGCAATATATGGATCCCAGGTTTCTGGATGTACACAATAAAGTGGGGTTTTTTGTTGTTGTTGTTTGTTTGTTTGCTTGTTTTATGGGGGAGTGAGTCTAGGAAATAGAGGGGAGGCCTAGAGCCTAATGCAAAAATCAATAAAAAAATTAGCCAGCCAACATTAGTCCAGCTGCTATTCTGGCTATCAGGAACTCCTTGGTTCTGTTCATTAATTTTCCTATTGTGTTTATTCAAGAATCGCACTGTTTAGTTACCAAACAACTCGGGAAACGGCTAAGAGATGTGTTACCACTCCACTGCTATTTTCTGCTGGTGTTTTATAAGATCTTTAGTTTTTACACAGGAATATCTTTCAGTTAGTCAGTTCATCAGATTGAAACCTGTTATCTCCCATTCCACCACTGATCAGTTTAAATTGTTTTAAGAAGAAACTTGTGAAATAAGATGTTATGGAACTTCCATACAACAATTGTTTCATTTATTTTGTAAGAAATCTCTAAAACTTTAATGACATTTCCTGCACCTCTAGAGAAAAGCAGAGATAACACTCCCTCTCCTGAAAATGAGGTGCTATTCCAACCACATTTCTCACCAGTTGTTTAAAAAAAAAAAAAAAAAAGTGTTTTTCTTAGTTATGCGAATGTATGGCAATGGTCAACTGTTGCTTAAACAACAAAAGAACTGTGAAAATAAAAGCGCTTTGGAATCCACCAGAGTCTCACACCGCATTAGGCCCTCACTTGAGAACCAAGGACTGTAACCAGGGTCCAGTTTATGCCCGAGTAAACTTTGCTGCTTCACTTCATAAAGCTTACTTTAAAACTGACTTGTTTTTCTTACTTCCTTTTTCTTCTTGCCCCTCCCCATCCCAAAGAGCAGAGTGGCAGGCGGGAACAAGACTTAACATTTTTCCTGTCCTAGGGTAACCTATCATATTCTTCTCTACCCCAAGTGTCAGGCCGGCAATACTAAAGAAACTCCAAACCCGGGAACTGAAGCAACGGCTCTCTCAAGAACTCCGATGAGCACTAATCTACTGACAATATTTGGATCCCACCCCTCTTTTTAAAGCTCTGTGTCCCCCTGACAGAATCACAGCCTCTTGGACAGGAATTCCGTGTTTTTCCTTTGCTAGCAAATCAGTTAAACTCTTTTCCTTTTTMTAAAACCATTGTTCTCCTTATTGGATTGCCAATGGAGACAAGGACCTTCGTATCAGGACCACATAGCAAGATAGGTCTTTGGCCTCTGGAAACCGTTAAGCACCCTCCAGTAGTAAGGTACTAGTCCGCGGCACAGTCGTTAAAGCAAGGGTGTTTCAGGAACCCAGCAGGCTTGATCAACAGTTCACCGCCMGCAGGAGCGGGAAAGGCCAGTAGCGCCTACAATTCCCAGCAGGCGCCGCGGCAGCGGCCTTCACGCACGCGCTGCCCAGACCCTGGGAAAAGGACTCCGCCGCGGGGCTTCTGGGAAAGAAAAATGGCTGCGCCCTGGCTACGGCTTGGAATGGAGCAGCTCTKTAAGATGCCGGCGGCAATGGGCCGCCAAGGCCGAGCTTACAGCACGTCCCAGACTTTTGCTGAGGTACTACGGCTGCCGAAGAAGCAGCTGACCAAGCTAGTGTACCCGCTGCAGGAACTCGAGCAGCACCTTGTTCCGGACTCAAGGCCCGACCTTCACCTCAGGGTCTTCGACCCTAGCCTGGAGGATATCTCCAGAGCGGAGAGTGTTTTCGCTTCCTCCGCCCGGAACCGTATTGAGTACATCAGTTCCGCAGTGCGGCTAGATCACGCCCCGGACCTCTCCCGACCTGAGGTGAGAGCTGCTGCTGCTCAGGTTCACGGTCCCCAAGATATTAAACCTCAGACCACCCGAGCACCGCCTGCCGCAGGTCTTGAAGGAGGCTTGCGGGGCGGGGGTTTACCACCACTGGTTTCTCCTCACCCAGGAGAGAGGTTTTCTGGCTTTGTGTGGGCGCATGTTTTAGATAACCGTATATATAGTTTTGCTGGGGATGTGACTCTGTGGTAGAGCGCTTGCCTGGTGTACTTGAGGCCTCKGAATTGAATCCCCAGCACCAAAAATAAAGACGAAAACACACACATATAGTTTTAATTATTATGATGATGGATACTGAAGACTTTAAGAGGTTTTGAAACATGAACTAAGCGTTCAAAAAGAAAATTCTGTCCTTTTATTTATTTTTTCCTTTTTAATTGAAGCGTAAAAACTTGCTGAGACAAATTAGAAGTTAGGGAAGGAGACATGATATAGATTCATAAATGAGATGATCCTTATCAATATGTAATTTTCACCCTATCTAAATTTCTCATCATCTGCAGGAATAATTATTATCTGTAGATAGTAATAACGAGAGACTTTTAAACATTAGTGAAATTTCGGAGTGTGCATTTTCTCCTTGTTCTACAATTTAATAATGTATTTTGTTTTGAGTTTGCTGAAAGGCGGTTCAGATCGCCTTTGCCATGTAAATGGAACACTGCCCTGAAATTTTTCTTCTAAATTATGTAGAACTGCTATAATTAATGGACTTTTGTATACTATTGTTTTTTCTTATCATTCATTTTGAAGGACTAACAGTTTTGTAGAATATGTGGAATCTCTGACCATTTAATTTTGGGCCAGTTATATTTTCTCATTTCTAAAATGGGGATGATAATATTACCCATTTCATAGGGTTGTTATGAAACATAAATAAGAAAATAATGTTGAATGCTTACAGTTCTTAGCACTTTAAAATTATTCATAAATATTAGCTGTGTGTTAGAATGTGAGGTTTGACCACATAGAAGCCTTTTTTATGTGCCTTGACAAAACTGAACAATTTGGTTCTGTAGGGAATGTGGCATTTAATAAACAAACTAGTACTCAGTTCTCTTAGTGCTCAATTCTCTTCTTTTTTCTTGTGTAAGGTATGTTTTATAGGCAGAAGCAATGTTGGAAAATCGTCCCTAATAAAGGCTTTATTTTCATTGGCCCCGGAGGTTGAAGTTAGAGTCTCCAAAAAACCGGTATGTTGATATTTTTAAATACCAGTAGACTGTCTCACAAATTGACTAAGATGAGTAATAAATATTGGATGATAAATAATTGGTAAGTGCCTTGAGAAAAGATGTTTTTCAAAAGCTTCCTTTTTCCCTATTTTCCAAAGAGTTAACARAGTCTTTTATTGGAATTGTATTATTTCCTTCTAAATAATGATCATCTAGTTCCATGTAGGTTTTCGGGGAAACAGCTTCAATGTTTTGGGCTTTTTTATTCCAGTAATCTTTTATACTTTGCTAATTTTCTCACTCTCTGACACATGCACATTCTTACACATTTACCTGTCCCGCATATTGTATTTACCCAAGACCAAACCATGTGCTTCTTATCCCTTTTGTCATTTTCCAGTTCCTTCTATTCTTTAAGGAGGCAGACTCTACCGATATCTAAGGTGACATGTATATTCTCAAATCACCCTCACTTCCCATTACCATATCATTTGTCCTTGGCAAAACCACTGACTCCAATGCTCACTACTCCCTGATCCTTTCATTAAGCTTTTCCATGAGGCTTCACTAATCTTTTGTTCCTCACTTCTTGAAGTAGTTGATTCTCTGGATTTATCACKAAATATTCCTTTCTTAACCTTCCCATCCTCACTCCTACCCTGCCTTACCAGCTAAACTATATAACTTCTAGGTAGAGGTGTATGGATGTAAGAGGACAATGGATGAAATTTATTCTTGACATTGTCAATCTCAGTCTTGTCAAGTCACATAATTCTAAAATTGTCTTCTGATAGACAAATAAGCCTATTGGAAGTTTAATCACCATTTATAAAAAAAAAAAAGAACCTTTGATAATATTTTTTCTAAGATCAAAACAGTTAACTAAATTGTCTTTTCTTTTCATGATTAATAAATGTCCCATGGACACAAAATCATAAATAAACCACATATTACCTTTACATCAATTTTAGTTTTAAAATTATAGTACATGATTTAATGAGAGCACTAAAACTAACTTAATAAAACATGAAAAACAACTATAGGAGAGCAATAATTTAGGGATAAGAAACTTATCGGGTTTTGGATCTAGATGTTACAAAAACCTGTTATGACTATGGCAATCACACAATTTAGAACAGACTGACATTTTCCACGGAGAGTTAAATAGGCAAGACTCAACAACATTTTGACTGTATTTTTCCATATTTCTTATATGGAATCTAAAGCTCTTAATACGGATTCTATTTTAAGACAATGAATTGGAAGGAGACAGTAGTATAAGCCAACCTTATATCCAGCCACTTCCCTTCTGTTTTCTTTTCCTCTGTCATCTACAGAATCCCTGGGGATCATATATGGGGCTTTTAATAAATGTTTGACACAGTTGAATAGAAAACATTCCAACACATGAAATACATAAAATACATATTTTAAGTCAGCTTTTATTTTTTCATTTATCAGGGTCATACAAAGAAAATGAATTTTTTCAAAGTTGGAAAGTATTTTACAGTTGTGGACATGCCAGGTTATGGCTATAGAGCACCAGAAGACTTTGTTGACATGGTAGAGGCCTATCTAAAAGAACGAAGGAAGTAAGGAAATTTATTTTCTTATAGTAGTTAACACATTTAATCCCCAAATACATTTTTTATCAGTGGAATATGTTGCACATGATGAACATTTCACTTTTATGAAGTGACTTAATTTAGAAGGTCCATTTTATTCTCATAATATTCTATGATATAATATTTAGGAAAAAGGTATGTTTGTTTGGCTTCTGCCTATAGGTGTCTATAATCTTAACTTCAAGTGTTTTCCTAAATTGAAACTCTAGAGTACTTCAGCAGTTTGTTCATTTTTTAAAAAAMCAAACTCTTAATTTCTGAAAATGAAAATAATTGGTTAATGTGTTATTTACCAGATTTAAATAAACTATACTAAATTCAGATTGTTTTTAAAATACCTCAGCTTTATCCTCTGAAAATGTTATCTTTACTTTCATGTCTCTTTTGGTAGTGAAATGACAGTTGTTTCGGGACTTGCACAATATAGAGAAAACTAATAAATTTCTGAAATGTAAAAATTTGTCTAGGACTGGGGGTGTAGCTCAGTGGTAAAGTGCTTGCTGAACATGCTAGAGGCTCTGATTTTGATCTCTAGGCCCACCAATTTAAAAAATAAAGTTTGGTACCAATCTTGGTTTTATAGCTTTACATAGGAAGTAAGGTGAAATATTTACAAAAGAAAATGCAATATATCATGTATCTGGTTTCGGTGTATCTGTTTGTCTTAATATTTAAAAAGTTAAACATTTCTATAATGTATAGTAAAATTGGATTTGTGTATCCGCCCCCCCCCC